CCGAGCCGATGCTTCCACGGGACCCTAGTGTGTGTGTGTGTGTGTGTGTGTGTGTGTGTGTGTGTGTGGTGTCTCTTATACACATCTAGATGTGTATAAGAGACAGATATATATATATCAAAAACAAAACGGTTGTAATCTGCCTCAGTAGAAATTTACTTGATACGACATGTTTCGGGCATAGCCAATCATCAGGTAATATACATATAGGCCCAGGAACGTATCCAGGGGGGAGCCGTGGGAGCCGCGGCTCCCCCACCCCCCTTTGTACACAGTGTTAAAATTTTAAAGCTTATTCTTGAGCCAATACAAATTCTTTCCTGGGACAGTGTTAAAATTTTAAAGCTTATTCTTGAGCCAATACAAATTCTTTCCTGGGATCACTTAAAATGAATACTTCTAAACATGTAAATATGCATCAGTACACGTTATACATAGGCCTAATAGAACACTTAAGCCTAAGCGTGATTAAAAAAAATCTTAAATCCATAAATCTCAGGCCAGTTATTTTAAGATAGAAATGGGATACTGTGGTTCAATTTCGTTTTTATCCTTTTGCAAGTTTCTTTAAATGTTTGTTTAATAATACTACTACTAATAGTAATAATAATAATAATAATAATAATAACAATGATGACAATGACGATAGTAATAATTGATATTAATATTAATAACAATAAAAAGTGAAGAAAATTGTGCTAAATGCGAAAAAAAGTTGTGATTTGTTGATCATAATATAGTATATATAGTTAAAGCTTAGTAAGCTATAATTAGGCCTAAGTTGTCCTGGATATTAAGTAGACCCTGATAAAAGGTCATGAGAAATTTGTTGGCGTTTCATTTTGACTATAATGGTAATGTGATGATGATGAATATTACTATATAAAAGTGTCATTTCCGGCCATTTCGAGAGGTACTATTTCCTCAAATTTTCTCACCTCAGCCCCAGCCATGGTGGGGCTGAGGTGGTTGTGAAATCACGTTTTTGAAGAGGCCTATGTAAAGTACATACTCAAAGACAATGTTTGTAAGCTTTGTTTTCTATGGTGTATACACACACATTAATAAGATCTCTATGGTTGTCAAAAATCCCTGATAAAAGATCATGAGAATTTCTTTTGGCGCTTCATTTTGACTAATGGTGATGTGATGATGATGAATTTTACTAAAAGTGTCAT